CCTGGGATCCTTGGGATCCTCGGGAGCCATGAGCAGAAAGCGCGAACAAAGGCCTCTCATTATGCTGCTTCCGTTTTTTTTTCATGAGGAAGTGCGCGAATATGGAGTATGACTTTAAAGCCGTCATGCTTTACTTTTGGCAGATTTTTGTGATCCAAATAATATAGTCCTACGAATAATAGCAAAACTCATGGTTTTTTTTCTGACCCCTGATATTTTTCTTTTGTGGTAAAAATGAAATACGTTAAAAGGAAATATCTACAGTGCTGGCCCATCAGTCTTGAAGGCAAGTTTTTTTCTTTCTGAAATCGTGAAATGAAAATGGAAAATGATGGTCTTATTCTCTTTGACAGCTGTTTTATGCGTTCGTTGACTTTTTATGATTTCAAGTCAAAAACTTTATCTTGTCGTCTCAATGAATTATGAAATAACGTCTATGAGGTCATTTTAAATTATTTTCTCTCAATTTTTTCGTTGCTCTCGGAGATTTTCTGTCAAATTCAAGTCCCAAGAAAAAATTTTGGTTCTCACGGCGGAAGCTTATGTATTGCATAATTATAATTTTTAAATTTAGTACCTTATTGGCCAGCGGAGTTCAGAGGTTTTTATTTGCAGGTTGGTTTTATAGTAGGAAATTTAAAACGTTTATCATGAAATGTTTTTTTAAAATCGATATTCCAGAATTTCAGTCCTTTTTTCTGCTAATATGAAGAAAATAAAAGCAGATTTTATACCATATCAATGTTGCTTTGAAAAGCAGTGCGTGTCAAGAGTCTGTTAATCCGGATTTGACGAATAGCCGAACATTACGAGTATTTCCGTGTTGTTCGTTGTTTGTCTGAATTAGAGAACATGTAAAATGAAAGTACCGTGTATTATAGTATCCTTTCGAAATACGAACTTGAGAATGACGCGTGTGAGCAGGAGAATAACATTTCGAATTTCGCTGTCTTGGATTAAACCAGGGTTTTGAAACTTTTGAGCTGCACTACTTATTAAGTTTCTGGCTAAGTGCATCAGGCTTCTAATTCTGTTGTTGGATGAAATTTTACGTATTTATTCATAAAATATCACTTCGATTTTTTCCAAGCAACTCTTATTTGAAGCTTGGGGTCATTCAAAGGATCTTGAAACTTACGAATATTCAATTTTAAGGGACTCCAAAAGCTGTCGAAATGTAACCTTACTTCCTGAAGTTACTGCGTCGTGACATTGGTTGTAATTCAAATCATTCGAAAAAAAATTCAGCATGAAATAACGTCAGAAAGCTAATGTTCAGTAATTTCTTCTAGATTTTTTCGTTTTTCAGAGGTTTTCTATCAAATTCAAATAATCCGAAGAACCATCGAGCTCTTGATGAGGAGAGTTTGAAAGTTGTTATGAATTTTCAGTTCAATTTTCTTGACCACCTTAGTTCAGGAGCTTTTATTTTCAAGATGGGCTTAGAATACGGAGAATTTTCCATTTTTAAATATTCATCGTATTTAAGTCCGTTTGATTGATTCTGAACCGAGTCTGCGATAATGTGAATATTATTGCAGGAAATAAGGAAGTGTATTGAATCAAGAAAAAAGAGAAACACGGGCTGAAGAAACCATAGGGTTACTGTCAAAAGGTTGGACATTTTGTGATTCTTATCATATATACGTATTACTTTTCCAAATTTTTTTCCCTGATACCGTTTCCGTCCCGGAAACTAAATATAATACCTGAGGTGACAGTTTTTGGGCCTAAAAGCCTGGTATATATCAGCTTTCGTTCAGAAAGACATTGATCCCTTGGCATGAGATCGAAAAGATTTCAAAAGAAAAAAGAAATATAATTGTCACCTCGAAGAAACTGTGAAAGATTATTTTTTTTCGACGTGTATTGGTTTGACACACGCCTCAGAGTCTTTGCTTTTGTTCACCACCGAGAAAGAAATCGACGGATTTTATTTTTTAATATCAAGGATTTTTCTCTCGTTTGTGTGGTGAAAAATGTTTCCCATTTTTTTCCATGGAGTCCGTATCAATTTAACAATATCGCTTGTTTCTGAAAACCGCATCAATTTTGTGCATTGAATACGTGTATACGGAATTGATGTGGTTGTCAGAAGTAATCTTCTATTGGGGATTATTGTGTGTCGGAATCTTCCATTGCGAAGATGTTGATGGGGAAAAAGAAGAAAATTTTTCACGAGTTCTTTCACCAGGATTTTGTGATTTCACTCACCTTGGAAATTAGTCGATTTGTTTCTGCTGTTGTGATGAAATAGCGCAAATTTATTTTCATGAGAATGTTCCAATGGAAGAATCTACTGTACTATTCATTTCCTCTAAGGATTACACATAAATATCTTCAGCATGGTGAATTTGCGACAGCAAAATTTTGATATTATATCGGTCCCCGTATAATTATTTATTCGCCAGTTTTTCATGAGGCGAAAATGTTCAAGAAACATCTTTTCAACCGATCTGAGGTAGACTGATATCATTCGCAATATTTTTTGTCTTATTTTATTGATTCATTTTTATTTTATAAATAATCTTGGGCATATTTCGTGATTCTGAAAATCCAGTGATTCAAAGACGTGGTATAGTACTCAAAAATTTGCAGAGGAGATAAAAGGTTTTTAACGTCATCACCAATTTTACCGCTTTTTCTAAAAATTTAGTTTTGTAATTTGGGATTTTGATTGATGATGAGATGCGCAATTCCCCAACAATTGGGTCGAACGATTTTTCGAGAATAAGCTTCCTGTAGATTAGCACTTCGAACATTATGCAAAAAATTTACCGAAGGTCATTACTTCGCCCATCAACATACGAAATTTACAATCTGAATATTTCCTTTAGACGTGTCGAAAAAGGTGCCATAAAGAAACTTCAATATATTTGCAGGAATAAGGTTCGATTCGACGACATATATTTTTTTTTATAGAAAATTTGAGCCTGATAAATTTGGTCGAATTTCAAATTGCAGCGTATATAATATTTTTTAAAGGGCAGATGTGAGTCTGGCGGTTCGCTGATTTTCTAATGTTTCAGACAGAACATCAAGTATAAACAGATTTTGCATCTCAAAATATTGTCGTTATTTTTTCCGCCCATTTTGAAAAATTAATCTTCCATATCTCCGCGATCGGACTCTTTGAAAGCTCTTGACGCTAGTTCAAAACAGATTTTTCGTGCCAGTCATGATCATTTCTGGTCAAAGAAAAGTTCAGTACAGTACGTACTTGAACTAACTCCGGAATTGGAATAATTCAAATAAATGATCAAACTGTATCATGATGGAAGAGAAAGTAACCAAAGTAAATGCCGTCGTTCGTGTGCCTCGGATCCAAACAGCAATGAATCATACGGACAGTCTTCCATTTATGCTGAATTTCGTTTTGAAAATCATGGGTGCTGAGGAAAAAACATTATGAAACCGTATCTTCCCTGTCTGTGGAAACCTGTATATAAAAGGGGGGAAAAAGGAAAGAGAACTTTGGTGTCACGACGTTTGCCCATAAACCTCGTTTTCTGGAACAGTTTGATCGATGCTACATTTTCTTGTGCCACTTAGGGAAGCCCAAGTGTGTTGTCTTCTGCATGCCCTGTGGACCGGGTTTTTATCATCCTGGGTCTGTTTTAAAATGTGAGAAAAAAATATGCATACCGTATATAAAGAAGCTCATTTGTGTTATATCATTTCTGGCCTTTTTTCTCGCGAAAATAAAAATGAGAAGAAGCTCGTTAGTGTTGTATCATCAGCAGGGCGTTTATTTTTTTCGACGAATTCGTTTCGGTTGGAGAAAACTTTTCCCACAGTCCGCATTTTAGAACGTGGGCATAACTTTTCAAGGGGTTGAAAATTTACGCTATATATAGACAAAATATTGAGAGTTACTGGACTTAAATTCTAATTTTGTCCGGTTTTTCGTGGTTAATTTTGATGTATTTACACGTTAAAAAAAGTCCGTGAAGTAAATATAGTCAAGTTCATTTTCAATCTAATTTTCGGGGGAAATTACCACAAGCATTAACAATTTTCGCTTAAACTTCAAAGATAATCCTGAAGGATTCCAGTCGACCGTGATGTATTTTCCAAAGTTTTTCAGGAAAAATTTGCAAAATTATCGCAGCCATTGAAAGAGTTCGGAATTTACGCAAAATCTTCGATAAATGTTCCGAAGGAATCCGGTTGCCCGCGGAATATTTCCGAATGGTTTTGAGAAATTATAATTTTGATTTTTTCAAAGATATCGCAGATATTCAAAGATAATCAAAATTATTGTGCGAAGTCCCCAATGATGACCAGGTAGGCGTGGAACATTTCCTAATGTGTTTGGGAAATTTTTGTGCTTGAAGAAAATAAAAATTGCCTCAGGCATCGAAGAAGGTCAGAATTTTCGGAAAATCTACTGCGCATAATTATCAGGAATTATATGGTCAAGCGTAGAATATTTCCCAACGTTTTTGAGAAATCCTTATTTGTTATTTTGAAAATTGCCAAAGGCATAACAATTATCATAATTGTTGCAAAGTATATGTGCAGAATTGGTTTTTGCAATTTCAGGGTACCATTCTTTAATATTTCAGGGAATTTTTCAAATAACCTCAGGCATTTAAAAAGAAAAGAGTTTACGCAAAATATACTATGATAATTTGAAAGAATCTCAATTGAGCGTAGAATGCTGTATTTTCAAATACTTTTGCCGCATTTCCAACCTTCGTTATTGTACGCGTTTATCTTTTCTTAGAATAAAAATTCCCAAACTTTCAGGAAACACGTATAACCATGCAAATATACTCGTATATTTCGCAATTGAATCAGTCCTGCTAAAATGATAATGATCTCAGTGCTTGTGAAATTGTGTTTATTATTTTGAGCGACCGAGTATTGTGTTCTCCCGAAATCCAACTAGGAAGTCCATGAAGCGTTGCACTGTTGAAATCTGTGTGATTTGAATACCATTTTGTTTTTTTTAAAAGAAAGAAAAATAATGATGAAATTTCGTTTCTTTGTTGCAGTTGAGGGAAATTCCTCGACCAATTGACGTTCCCGAGTGCGGTCTAGTCTGTGATGTTCTATGGTCGGATCCTGATGAGGTGAGTGTTCTTTAAAAAAATCTACACATTTCTTCATGGAATACGAGTTGGGAATTTAGAGACTTTTTTTGTAAACCAAATTGTTTTCTGTGACAAATTATCTTATTGTTGAGAACTGATTCATTTAATTCGGGAGAGAATCCGAGTTGCGCAACTTGAACTAATTTCGAATTTCACCATCGACGAATTGATTGTCTGAACTGGATTTTTTCGCGAGGAAACAAAAGTTTGTTTTTTAGTGTTCAATCGTATTATTCAAGTATTTTTTTATGCGTGTCTTCGAATGAGATCCAGGCGGGTATAATGCCCGCTTTTTATGGTCTCAGTGGCCGCCTGGATAGACGTCCACCCTGGACGTCTATAAGGCCGTTTTTACTGCGTAAACCCTAGCAGTTAACGCCCAAATTATTTGCTGGGCGGTTTTCGTGGTTATTTTTTATGTATTTAAACGTTTAAAGAAAGTCCGTAAAGTAAAAATATAGTCAAGTTCATTCTCAATCTAATTTTCGGGGGAAATTACCACAAGCATTAAAAATTCTCGCTTAAACTTCAAAGATAATCCTGAAGGATTCCAGTCGACCGTGGAATATTTGCCAAAGTTTTTCAGGAAAAATTAGAAAAATTATCGCAACCATTGAAAGAGTTCGGAATTTTCGCAAAATCCCCAATAATATTCCGAAGGATTCCGGTTGCCTGCAGAATATTTCCTAATGGTTTTGAGAAATTACGACTTTAATTTTTTCAAAGATACCGCAGATTTTCAAAAATAATTCAAATTATTTTTCGAAGTCTCCAATGATGACCAGGTAGGCGTGGAAAATTTCCCAATGCGTTTGGAAAATTTTTGAGTCTGTATAAAAATAAAAATTACCTCAGGCATCGAAGGTCAGAATTGTCAAAAAATCTACTGTGCATAATTATGAAGGATTATACGGTTAAGCGTAGAATACTTTCTGACGTTTTTGAGAAATCCTGAGTTTTTTTTAATTGCCAGACATAACAAATATCGTAATTGTGGAGAAGTGTATGTGCAGAATAGGTTTTGCAATTTCAGATAACCATAGAATGTTCTTTATTATTTTAGGAATTTTTTCAAATTTTCAAGTAACCTCACGCATTTAAAAATAAAAGAGTTTACGCAAAATCTACTATGATAATTTGAAAGAATTTCAATTGAGCGTGCTGTATTTTCAAATACTTTTGCCGCATTTCCAACCTTCGTTATTGTACGCGTTTATCTTTTCTTAGAATAAAAATTCCCAAACTTTCAGGAAACACGTATAACCATGCAAATATACTCGTATATTTCGCAATTGAATCAGTCCTGATAAAATGATAATGATCTCAGTGCTTGTGAAATTGTGTTTATTATTTTGAGCGACCGAGTATTGTGTTCTCCCAAAATCCAACTAGGAAGTCCCTGAAGCGTTGCACTGTTGAAATCTGTGTGATTTGAATACCATTTTGTTTTTTAAAAAAGAAAGAAAAATAATGATGAAATTTCGTTTCTTTGTTGCAGTTGAGGGAAATTCCTCGACCAATTGACGTTCCCGAGTGCGGTCTAGTCTGTGATGTTCTATGGTCGGATCCTGATGAGGTAAGTGTTCTTTAAAAAAATCTACACATTTCTTCATGGAATACGAGTTGCGAATTTAGAGACTTTTTTTTTCAAACCAAATTGTTTTCTGTGACAAATTATCTTATTGTTGAGAACTGATTTATTTCATTCGGGAGAGAATCCGAGTTGCGCAACTTGACCAAATTTCGAATTTCACCATCGACGAATTGATTGTCTGAACTGGATTTTTTCGCGAGGAAACAAAAGTTTGTTTTTTAGTGTTCAATCGTATTATTCAAGTATTTTTTTATGCGTGTCTTCGAATGAGATAATTTCGAATTTCACCATCGACGAATTGATTGTCTGAACTGGATTTTTTCGCGAGGAAACAAAAGTTTGTTTTTTAGTGTTCAATCGTATTATTCAAGTATTTTTTTATGCGTGTCTTCGAATGAGAACTTGTTCAAGTTGTGGTTTCCAAACTATATCTTTCCCGCTGCAAAATAAAGCGAGTATCTTTTTAAATTATTGCATGCATTAAAATTATCACGTGACTTCAAATAAAATTCGAACATAATTTCGATTGACCGAGGAATATTTTCTGAAGATTTTTTCCAGAAATCATTATGAAATTTTCGCAGACATTTGAAGAGTTTGGAATTTGCCCAAAAGCTTTCATGAATACTGTATTCCAAAGGATTCCGGTTAACCACGGAATACTTCCAAATGCTTTCGAGACATTCTAATTTTGGATTTTTTTTCAAAAACACCGCAGTTATTAAAAGATATGTATACTCTATATCAGAATTTAAAAATAAAGAGAGTAGTTTTTTGACAGCCTTATAGGGAAATTTTCGAAACATCGATAAATTACGAAAACGATTTTTAATGATTGACAAAATAAAACTCAGTGGGTCGGGACTTGCTCTGGTTTTCATAGTATTTATTCTTAAAAATAGAGAGTGTTTTTACTTTTTTGTTGTTCGACAGCCGGAGGAAAAAAATCCGAAAGATCTTCGATTAATTACGGAAAAAATCTCAATCATTGAAAAAATAAAATTCAGTGGGTTGGAACTTTCTCTGGTTTTCATAGTATTTATCCTTCAAAGTTAAGTGAGTGTGAAATGTGAACCAACCTTGAAATCGGAAGGGATTTAAGTTTCAGAACCTGGTGCTTGATCAAGCCCTCACTTAGTTCTTGTCAAGGAGAAATGTCCATAGGTTTGGGGGCGTCGAGATTTTGGCTTCAAGGCTTCATATAACTCACTTATTTTGGTCTATAAATGCCTGGAATTTTGAGTTATTTATTGCAGCAATCATTTTCCCACTCTCTGAAGTTGGATTTATTTCAAGTACGTTCCCTTTCATGCAAATTTTATGACTGGTGTGAAAATTAAGTCTTTCTTTGCAGTTGGACTGATAACGATCAAAAGGTCAGAATAATTGGTTCGTTTCTTTTTTCTGCATCATTCTCTTATTTGAGAAATGAGGAAAATGGCGAATGTCAAAATTGTAATCGCTTATTTGGGCGGAAAACGTAACCGAATATTCTCGCCGATACGCAAAATAAAATTACGCTTCTTGTTTTTTATAAAGCACTACAAAATGAACTAACTTCTAATCTGGTCCCGTTTGAAATTTCATGTGCTGCATTTTCAATTTTCTTTTTCTGCCGTTCGTAGAAAATATTGAGAATTAGTATTAAGTTTCAGTTACGAAATTTCAAAACCTTTTCCATTTTTGCAACACTTCTAGAAGCACAGGTTCTTTTTTTCGATCTTGATCAATATTTTCTGAGCATGAGTGACTTTTTTCGGAAATTAAGAAAAATTACTCACCATGAATTTTCTTAGCTCATTATATGCCCTGTAAAAAATGCTGACCTCGCACAAATTCTGATTTATGAGCAGGACCTCTAAAAATCAGTATCATGATTTATTTCATCACCGATTTTTATTTTTTTTATTTTTAGAGAGTCCACATCTATGGTGAGAAGAGAATCCATCAGGGATTGTTAGTGGAGTCTATTTATAGTGATGGTGTCCATTAATTTAAGTTTTCTGGATTTGCCAAATGTTGTTTTTATTATTTATTTATTATTTAGCCGAAGATTACTCCTCAAGTATCTGCGAAATCTTTGAAAAAAATATTCTTTTGGGTACACAATTATTTATGTCGAAAGAATACACTGATGTCTCAGGAGATTCGCTCTCATTATCTGCTAATTAAAATAATTGAGATTTCGACTCCTGTAACCTAATTTTGAACATTTTTTCCCTTTTTTCTTGTCATTCATTTATTTGGCATCCTTCTTTCTCTGGTTAATTGTTTTTGTTCTCAATTTATTAAAAAGTTTATACCCGAATTTAGTCAAAGATTGCTCCTTCAAGTAGCTGCTAAATATTTGAAAAAATGTTTTTTTGTTGTTCAAAATTATGAATGTTGAAAAAATCCAAGGACAGACTCGTCGGAAAAACTGATTTAAAGATTCGCTATAATTTAAAGAATTCAGATTTGGGCATATATACAGTAACTTCAATTTGAATTTGTTTAGCTTCATTTCATTCATTCGGCATCCTTCTTTCTCTGAATGACTGATAATCTTTTTAATTTATCAGAAGTTTTTAATCGGCTTCAGTAATTTAGTAGGTAATTAAGCCCTTGGATGCGAAATTATCTTGGGAAGAATTTTTGCGTGTTCCCAATTATATTGAGAGAGTCTTGCAAAACGTGATTTGAAGATCAGGAAATTAGAATAATTTAGAATTGGATCTCTGAAACTTCATACTGAAATTTTTCAGCTTTCTTTCATGTATTTATTCATTTGGCATCCTTAGTTTCTCTGAATGACTGATTTTTTCTCAATTTATTTTGTGAAAGCTCACTTCTTCAAGTAGCTGTGAAGTATTTTGAGAAATTGCAGTGTTTGGTTACTAATTAATGATGTTGATAGAATCCACGTGCCTGCTCAGGAAATTCGCTTTCAATTTAAATTCGCCAATTGAAAGAATTGAGATTTCGAACTCTACAACTTCATCCTGAAATTGTTTAGCGTTCCTTCTTTCTGTAAAATTCATTCATTCGGCATTCTTATTTTCTCCGAATGATTGATTTCTTCGCAATTTATTTAGTGAAAGCTCACTCCTTCAAGTAGCTGTGAAAAATTTTGAAAAATCGTAGTTTTGGGTTCCCGAATAATGGTGCCCATCGGAGAATCCACGGGCCTGCTCAGAAAATTCGCATTCAATATTTGTTGATTTTAAGGATTGAGATTTCGAACCCTCTATACAACTTGATTCATCCTGAAATTGTTTCGCGTTATTTATTTATGTAATTCATTCATTTGGCATCCTTAGTTTCTCCGAATGACTAATTTATTCTCAATTTATTTAGTGAAAGCTTATTCCTTCAAGTAGCTGTGAAACATTTTGAGAAATCGTATAGTTTTGGGTTCCCGAATAATGGAATCCACGGGCCTGCTCAGAAAATTCGCTTTCAATATCCGCTGATTGTAAGAATTGAGATTTCGAATCCGTACAACTTCACTCTGAAATTGTTTCGCTTTCTTTTCTTTCCCTTGGTTCATTCATTCCGGATCCTGTGCAATAGCCTTCATATGCATTAGAAGAAAGACGTGGGTTGCCGAACCCTTTTCAAAATTCCTCCGGCGGGGGCGAAGCAATTTCATGCGAGTCTCGCCTCGCGGGGAATAAACCCGTAAACCCGTCTCGCGCAGGAAATGTGGGCTTATGAGTTCCTAACCCAACTTTTCATTATCTAAGAAGGAGAGAAAAAACAAACAAACACACAAATGACGAAACAACGAAGGCAAAAATTACTCCAAACCTACACATTGAATAGTACTTAAGCAACGTACGAAGGCGGTCTTCTGAAAGCCTTTGTTTGGTACCACGCAAGAAATCACTCAGGTATTGCGCAAGGGGTTCTTTCGTGGGTTCTTTTTTTGGCGGGAGCAGAGAACCTGTCATAATCGTACCAAACTTTAAATTAAATTTTTAATTTAATTCGGTAAAGTATTTTGAAATCGTTTCTTCCTTGATCTTTTTTCCTTTCATCCTTTTTTAATCAGAATGTTAGGAGTACATTAGTGTATAGTTTAGTAAAGTATTATGTTTCACGCTTGCTGCTTCGTGATGATGAAACAAGTTTTTATTTGATTCGGGGATAAAATGTGGGGATGAAGAAAAGCGTTGTCGAACGGATTACGTGACTCGGATTTTGTGACGAAAGTTTTTTGTTTTGTTTTGTTTCAATCTTTCGATTAAATTTGAGAACAAGTCGGCGAATCGGAGAGGTGGTCAAGAATAAAAGTATTTTTCTGAAATTACTTGGTCTCGACGTAAAACAATTTTGATAATTACTTGGTCTCGACGTAAAACAATTTTGATAGTAGCCATTCATAAAAGCTGTCTCACAGCTTCTTTTAAGTTTTCGGCATCCGCGGGGATATTTTTTTGTCATCTATCCTACAATTGTTGAAAATTCTCTCACAATAATGATAGCGATTTCATTTGGTTTACAATGAATGAATTTGAAAGGCCATTCTGTTGAACAATTTGCTTTTGGTTCTGTATTGTGCATTGGGTTGATATACTTTATTTTGCAGCCCTTTACTGTTTCTGAAGGAGAATATTCTGTTTCTTGACGATCATATAATTTTGACGATGATGGAAATGCAGTGATTTGTTAATCTATTTCATAAAGTAGGTGTTGAAATAACTGTGATGATCATGGTGCTGTCAAATCTCACATCAAAACTTCGTAGTTGTCCAAAACCCTGAAAAACAAGAAATGCTCGTTGAAGATTAAATGCTATCTAAAAAAAAAGTATCGCACTTCAAACCAAATAGAATGAATCTTTAAAAGACATGAATCAGAAAAAATATCAGCAAGAAGTGTATCTAAGTGTTCCTGGTTTCGTTGAACATGGAAATAGTGTCTTGGATTCCGACGTTTCGGTTGATTAAACCTCCGAAATCTTCAGCCAGAAAAGGATTTTCTCTTTCCGTTTTCTTTCCAGGGAAAAAAGGGATTTTTTCCTTGATCCGGAGATGGAGGAAATTCCTCTAAATATGCAAAGCTGTCTTGTCTTTTTCGTATGCACGTTGGATTTCGCAGTTTTTTTTTTTCTTTTCTGGTAAAACTCCATGGTGGTTTTTCAGCCCTCTTTATTGGCTCAAAAAAATGTTTCCTGTGTTCACTGCATATCTTCTATGGACCGGATGGCAATCTTTTTGTGGATGAAGAAAAGGGGTGTGCATAAACATTTGAAAACACAATGAAATCAGTCCGACATCGAATACTGAACAATTAATTTACCCTCGCAACAAATTCGAGGTCCAGGTATATCTCTGGGCCCCTTTTTCTTTCATTTTTGAGTCCAGTGCATGTTTTGGGGGGGGGAGGAAGTGACATCTAGATGTTAAACTTCAAACACTTCAAAACCTAAGTTTCTTCCTCTCTTTTTTGTTTGTTTGTGTGTTTACTGCTTTGTTGCTTCCGTTTTTAATGAGGTTTGGATGTGTAACTTATCATGAATTCGTTGCATGCTTCCGCCAGAAGACTTTCGGAAACAAACCTACCACGCAAGAAATCACTCAGGTATTGCGCAAGGGGTTCTTTCGTGGGTTCTTTTTTTTTGCGGGAGCAGAGAACCTGTCATAATCGTACCAAACTTTAAATTAAATTTTTAATTTAATTCGGTAAAGTATTTTGAAATCGTTTCTTCCTTGATCTTTTTTCCTTTCATTCTTTTTTAATCAGAATGTTAGGAGTACATTAGTGTATAGTCTAGTAAAGTATTATGTTTCACGCTTGCTGCTTCGTGATGATGAAACAAGTTGTTATTTGATTCGGGGATAAAATGTGGGGATGAAGAAAAGCGTTGTCGAACGGATTACGTGACTCGGATTTTGTGACGAAAGTTTTTTGTTTTGTTTTGTTTCAATCTTTCGATTAAATTTGAGAACGAGTCGGCGAATCGGAGAGGTGGTCAAGAATTAAAGTATTTTTCTGAAATTACTTGGTCTCGACGTAAAACAATTTTGATAATTACTTGGTCTCGACGTAAAACAATTTTGATAGTAGCCATTCATAAAAGCTGTCTCACAGCTTCTTTTAAGTTTTCGGCATCCGCGGGGATATTTTTTTGTCATCTATCCTACAATTGTTGAAAATTCTCTCACAATAATGATAGCGATTTCATTTGGTTTACAACGAATGAATTTGAAAGGCCATTCTGTTGAACAATTTGCTTTTGGTTCTGTATTGTGCATTGGGTTGGTATACTTTATTTTGCAGCCTTATACATAGAAGTAAAACCTTTTACTGTTTCTGAAGGAGAATATTCTGTTTCTTGATGATCATATAATTTTGATGATGATGGAAATGCAGTGATTTGTTAATCTATTTCATAAAGTAGGTGTTGAAATAACTGTGATGATCATGGTGCTGTCAAATCTCACATCAAAACTTCGTAGTTGTCCAACCCTGAAAAACAAGAAATGCTCGTTGAAAATTAAATGCTATCTAAAAAAAAAAGTATCGCACTTGAAACCAAATAAAAGGAATTTTTCAAAGAGATGAATCGAAAAAAATTTCAGCAAAAAGTGTATCCAAGTGTTCCTGGTTTCGTTGAACATGGAAATAGTGTCTTGGATTCCGACGTTTCGGTTGATTAAACCTCCGAAATCTTCAGCCAGAAAAGGATTTTCTCTTTCCGTTTTTTTCCAGGGAAAAAAGGGATTTTTTCCTTGATCCGGAGATGGAGGAAATTCCTCTAAATATGCAAAGCTGTCTTGTCTTTTTCGTATGCACGTTGGATTTCGCAGTTTTTTTTTTCTTCTCTGGGAAAACTCCATGGTGGTTTTTCAGCCCTCTTTATTGGCTAAAAAAAATGTTCCCTGTGTTCACTGCATATCTTCTATGGACCGGATGGCAATCTTTTTGTGGATGAAGAAAAGGGGTGTGCATAAACATTTGAAAACACAATGAAATCAGTCCGACATCGAATACTGAAAAATTAATTTACCCTTGCAACAAATTCGAGGTCCAGGTATATCTCTGGGCCCCTTTTTCTTTCATTTTTGAGTCCAGTGCATGTTTTGGGGGGGGGAGGAAGTGACATCTAGATGTTAAACTTCAAACACTTCAAAACCTAAGATGCGAACTCCACGGAACAAATCTAATTTTTAATTGTATACCAGGGTTCTCACAAAAGTTCTCGGAATAGAAATTAAAATGGCATACAATGGAGCTGGAAAAAATTTATTCTTTAGGGAAAACATATTCTTTGTCACACACAAACAAATCAACCCTGTTTGACAAATACATTTTCAATTGTTTGCAAAATTCCCCCTGGCAGAGTTTTGCTCTCCACTTCAAAGATGAGACGCCCTTCCAATAGATTTTTTGTTTTTGTTGTAGCCCAGCTTTCCCCTCAGAATTCTTGAAATCAACGTGGCATTCATTCTAAGGGTTTATTGAGGACAAATGTCTTCAATATGAGTTAGTGTGGAGTATTTGATAGTTGGACAATAAAACAAGTTAGTCAGTCCGGGACAGGACTGGGATTCCTCTTTGGAATTCCTAGTTTATTGTAGTTTATTGGATAAGTTTTATTTCACACAACGATAAATAACAACTCAATGAGCTCCGGCTTTTAGGAATAATGTGGATAACTTGGAATAACTCAGATGAACTGAACTGATCTAATGAGAATATATAAAGGATGCAGCTTATATAGTATTGATAAGATTTAACTTTTAACAAGTTTTACTTTCCAATCAGAGCAGAAGAAGTTCTTGTCAAAGATGCCGTGGTGCCAGGATGTTCCTGGCACTGCAATTTTGAGGAGGGGGGAAAATTTCCTTCAATTCCAAGAAACAAGTACAGTGTCCCCACGCCTAACAGACCTCCCGTGTAAGGGATTTTTGCCAAACAGACCAGCTCTGCAAGCAGTTTTTCCTCCTGCCCAACGGACAAAATCCACCAGACAGACTTCTTTTGGTTTAAGATTAGTGTTGAATGACCTCCCGTGTAAGGGATTGTTGCCAAACAGACCAGCTCTGCAAGCAGTTTTTCCTCCTGCCCAACGGACAAAATCCACCAGACAGACTTCTTTTGGTTTAAGATTAGTGTTGAAAATTGAAATTTTTAATTATTTATTTAATTGAATTCTTGTAAAGGACTTTTTGTCTAACAGACTTGCCCCTTGTACAAATGAAGTCCGTTAGACGGGGGTTGACTGTATTTTATTGTACTTTAGCATGTATGCCCAACAGCGAGTTGCCTCCAGGTCTTCCAAGGCAATTCCGCCATTTTCATCAACAGCCGCCTTCTCAGCCACCAATGTGACTTCTTGGATGGATCTTTTTGTCGAACCCTGTTTTATGGGTGCTCAGAGGGATCCAGTGTAGCCATAGAACATCATCAGTCACTCCTGCGGCATACATAAACCTGCGAATGTGCCACCAGGCGCATGTCGACACCCTATGGGTCCCAGTTTCAGGCCGGAATATATTAGGAAACGTTTTTCTTCTTTTCCATGTAACACCACTTTGTATTCAGCACGTGTACATTCAGAGTTGTTTCTTTCCACACAAACCCCTGTTGATGAGCAGTACAAGAAGGTTCTGGCAAACAAACCCAGAGAAACAGAAAAAAAAACATAATGAGAGTGGGCTCTTACAAATTTTCGATTCAGGGAAGGATTGTGTAAAAATGAAGTTTTCAAATTCAGAAAGAGGAGTTCAGAAAGAAGTGGGTGTAGGGAATTTGCTTGTGTAATGATCATGCGCATTTGTTCGGTGAAGTGACTCAATTTTTTTTATTATCTCTAGATAGAGATCAGTACAAATACATGGTATCTTGATCCTGAATTCCTGATAAACAGTATATGACTGGAAAATAAAATTGATTTTTCAAAACGATACTCGCTGCCAAACTAAGGACAAATTTCAGTCTCTGGTGACCCGAATTTTCGTCGTAACTTAAGTTTTCAGCCCGATTCAGAATGAAAAAGTTTTTCGAATCGATTTAAACATGCCAGCGCTGATGATAAGTTTTCTGGATTTTTTTGTTCTCGCAGATTTTTCCATCATTAAAAAACTGAAGATGAAGAAAAGAATTTGGAAAAAAACCAGGCCGAGGTTTGAGGCTGTAATATTGTCTCGCACTTGACATTCGAAATTTTTGAAGACTCAAATTTTTAAAGATTTCAAACGTTTCTTTAGGAGCAGCTGGAAACTTGAGAAAAAAATATATATCACTGCCCTTATTCTATAGATTTATTGATCCAGACGGAAGCTTCTTTTGTCGTCCAAGTCTTAGAAGTTGGGTCACGTTTTTACGCGACTTCACAAGAACTCTTCAGAGAACGTTGACCCAATTTCCTGAATCCATCGAGTTTTCTTCTACTTCTGAAAGTGTTTCCTCCCTATGTCTTGAATAGCAGTTCTTGAAACTGACATCGTCAAGTTTTTCCATGTAACACCACTTTGTATTCAGCACGTGTACATTCAGAGTTGTTTCTTTCCACACAAACCCCTGTTGATGAGCAGTACAAGAAGGTTCTGGCAAACAAACCCAGAGAAACAGAAAAAAAACATAATGAGAGTGGGCTCTTACAAATTTTCGATTCAGGGAAGGATTGTGTAAAAATGAAGTTTTCAAATTCAGAAAGAGGAGTTCAGAAAGAAGTGGGTGTAGGGAATTTGCTCGTGTAATGATCATGCGCATTTGTTCGGTGAAGTGACTCAATTTTTTTTTTTATTATCTCTAGATAGAGATCAGTACAAATACATGGTATCTTGATCCTGAATTCCTGATAAACAGTATATGACTAGAAAATAAAATTGATTTTTCAAAACGATACTCGCTGCCAAACTAAGGACAAATTTCAGTCTCTGTTGTCCCGAATTTTCGTCATAATTTAAGTTTTCAACCCGATTTAGAATTAAAAAGTTTTTCGAATCGATTTAAACATGTCAGCGCTGATAAAAAGTTTTCTGGATTTTTTTGTTCTCGCCGATTTTTCCATCATTAAAAAACTGAAGATGAAGAAAAGAATTCGGAAAAAAAACCAGGCCGAGGTTTGAGGCTGTAATATTGTCGTGCACTTGACATTCGCTCAAATTTTGAAAGATTTCAAACGTTTCTTTAGGAGCTGCTGGAAACTTGAAAAAAAAAATATATCACTGCTTTTATTCTATAGATTTATTGATCCAGACGGAAGCTTCTTTTGTCGTCCAAGTCTTAGAAGTTGGGTCACGTTTTCTTGCGACTTCACAAGAACTCTTCAGAGAACGTTGACCCAATTTCCTGAATCCATCGAGTTTTCTTCTACTTCTGAAAGTGTTTCCTCCCTATGTCTTGAATAGCAGTTCTTGAAACTGACATCGTCAAGAAAAATTCTGTACTGCACTGAGAAAATTATTGCGGGGAGAGGGTTTTCCGAAAAATCGATGTTTGAACCCAAATTATTATCGAATTGTATTTCGATAACGTACTGAGTTAACCTGAGGTCAAGGTCTCATGGGAATCATTTGAAAGAGCACCAGAAAACGAAAAATTTAAAAAAACATGAAGGTTACTTCGATTGCGGTAGAATCTCATTACGACGAATCTCGTTTTAAAGAATATTCGATTATAACGAAGTACTTCTTTAAGTCCCTGTCTGTTTTAGCCATAATGTTAAAAAGTGTGTTCGTATATAGCGAATGTTCCGTTACAACAAAGCTATTTTGCTCTTCTCCAGAGGCTTCGTTGTAATAATATTTTCCTTCATTTCATTTTGATTATTCTCTAAATTATTCAGAAGTAACAGTTTAATTACACTCGATATCTCGCTGCATTCGAGTTTTAAATGGATTTAAATTTAAATCAATTGCTATGTTCAACAAAGAAACATTTATATTTTAGTAAAATTCTGTATTCAACCCCATAAATACAGTAAAAAGCATTCTGAAGACATAACTACCACGTTACAACTTGGACTGGATTATATGTCGAATCTCGTTTTAACGAATTTCGTTATAAAGAATATTCGATTAAATCGAAGTCATTCTTTTCGTCCCGGTCTGTTAGCCATAATGTTTAAAAGGTTGTTCGTGTAAAGCGAATTTTCCGTTACAACAGAGCTATTTTGTTGGTCTCCGGAGGCTTCGTTGTAACGAGATTTTGATTTATTTAATTTGGATTATTTTCCAATTTATGCAGAAGTAGCCGTCCAATTAAACTTGATGTCTTGCTGCATCCGAGTTGAAATCGAATTTAAATTTTAATCAATTGTTCAACAAAGAGAGATTAAAATTTTAGTAAAATGCTGTATTTAACCTCATGAATGCAATAAAAATAATTCTGAAAACATAATTACCACGTTACAACTGGGACTGGATTTTATCTCGCTTAATTTCATGTTTTGCTCCCTATACATTGTCATTTGACTGAACGCTAGCCCGTCAAAGATATGAAGATATGATGCTTGAAAATGAGCAGATGCATATACAGTATAGTGTATCTGGAATGAAAAACATATTTGCTCTAGATGTTGCTCTGGTGCTCGTATTATGGGTACATCTGTGGCTGAACTGAATATTCATCATGCCATCGATTCCTCGAGTGCAGCAGCAGTCAGGGATTCACTGTCGAATAAATCCTTCTGCTCTATACTCCATGATTCAAATGCGTTTCGATTTTCCGCTACTACATCCGAAGCTTTTCCTTCATCTTCCGAAGATTTCTCGGAATTTGCATGATCCCTCTTTTTTTTAACCCTAGGAAAAATTCTCTTGCTTCAATTTGTTGGTTTAGAGAATTTAAAAACGAGTTTGAATCAAAAAAAAAAAAGAAAGGACTGATGAGGTGTCGAAGCTCAAACATGAGCTGGAAAGACATTTTTTTATGCATTCCACATTTTTAGAAATTTGCCGTGCTGTACTGTATTTCAAAGACCTTTTTACGATTTTGAAATGAAATTTTCGTATTTCGTATGTCAGTGGTCGAGATAATTTTTGTCCAAAATTTTGAACATTATGCTCATCTAATTCCGCGCGTGGAAGAGTTTTGTGTTACTTTTGTAGATAGATTTTTCGATTACGCTATTATTTGGACAATTTTTAAACACATTTTTGAATTTAGATATGTAACCATTTTAATTTCCGTGGCGTTGATGATTTTCGCCCAAATCGTCGAGGAAGATGCTCATGAAATTCAACGCCTAGAAGGATTGTGTGTTATTTTTTAAGGCCGATTTTTTATTCGAGTAATTTTTCAAATTTTAAAACCCGTGAATCATTCAGTGCTGGTGCTTGAAAACTTGTGTCAATTGTAAAAAGTTGAATGAAAAAATCATTTTCGCGTCTGATTACTGGTCCAACTCCTAGAATATTGAAGTTCCGAATCAGTTGAAAATGAAACATAAATTGCTTTGACCTTCGCTAGATGACGCTGTTCACAGCGACTAAAATTTGTTTTGAAAAATAATGCAATCTATTTTTCAAGATGTTAGGAATGCATTTCAATCACTGGAAAATTATATTTTATTATTGTACTGTACTGTATATTGAATGTCAAAATGGTATTTTCAGTGATCTTATTTCGCTGCAAAGCCGAAGAAAACTTCGGCGAACTCTTTCTGGATGGGTTTTACATAAATAAGACACGAGTAGCTGATGCAATTTCCAAAGCACAAGTATGAGAAGTTCTAACGAAGTAGAGCGATTCCATTCTCCGACCAATAACTGCGTAAAACGCAATTTCCTGAGAATAAGATTTGGCTCTTGAGAGTAATTTGGCGCGCTAAAAGCTTTTCATAACCGCCTGTTCCCTGTTTCGAGGGAACCCAATGTACCAATGGTCTTTCTCCGGAAATATATTACCTTGAAATGAATGAGGAAAATTATTATTCCGAAATTACGCGTGATGCGAACTACTTCAACTTGATTTCTGCACATATACGTGTTAGGAGGTGTATTAAATAGCTGACCTGACATGAAGTCTGAGAATAAGTTCGTGGAAAAGTGTGTATATGCGAGCTTATCCCGGAAACTTTGAATGTTTGTCACATGAAAATTGAAGCAGAAAAATTAGTGTCAATTTTCGTCCTGTCTTTGTTCAAATAGTTATAACACAAGAAGGGTGATACTGTATTTTCTCGACTGTACAGTTTGAGAATGCAATAAGAACGCAATTTTTTTTCGCGATGATTCGAAATTCTATTTTGATGCAGCCTGGGAACAATCACATCAAGATTGAGGCTGCATGATTGAAGAATAATTTTTTGCGTTCCTTCTGTGGTCTAAAATCCCGCGAAATTACGTCAATAAGGATTATATTAAGAAGCCGTAATTATTTTTTCTTAATGGCAAGAGAAGATTAACAAAAAAAGCACTGTATTCGAGTGCAGTACTCATTTGCAGCAGAAATCCTCGTCGATTTTTTGTAAGGCTTTTGTCGGGTCGATTGATGACAAATAAAATAGCGAGAAAGAATAAACGCAGTCACTCAGCCTTTAACGGCCGGATCCTCTTTAGCAGAGTCCCTTTAGAATAATCAGCTTTATCCAGACACGCACAAACCACAGAAGGATAAAAGGTACCCAGAGGTACAAACAATCACGCTAGGACGCAAATACAGATTCCACAGTCAGGTAGATCCACAAGCTCTCAGACGTAGCTCTCGAAATGTAATGTTCTTCTTCCCGAAGCCCCAAAGGCTTTGGGAGCCGGCGTTCGCTGCCGGAAATGATTATCTTTGTTCTTGACCCGGTTTACCGCAATGCGGTAAACCGGGTGCCCTATCCGCTTCCGGGTTGGCGTGTAGGAGTTGCTGCGTGGTATACCCGAGCGAGGATGCTACGCTCGGGTTGCTGCGTGGACGCGACCCCACAGCTTTGATATTTTGTTCTATGAACTTTTTTTTTTATAAATAGTATTTAATTTCTAATGTGTACTGCTGCGTACTACGATAATAATTTGTCATCAATCTTCACTCAATTACAGTTTTTAAATAATAATCTCTGATTCATTTAAAGACCAGTCTTTGGATCGATGTAATTTTTAATTTCTTCGCAATTTTGTGATTTAAAACAGAGAATGTTGAATCTATGAGAATACAAAAAAATTAAAGAAGATTTCTGCTGCAAAAGCATTGTCATTTTAAATATGTCATTCTTGAAGAATAACCTATCGAAATAAACAATCCCAGAATGTCAATTTTCAACAGCAGAAAATTTAGCCTCAGTTGAATAATATGGCTGTCCGAAAATAATTCAAACCGCTGAAATAGTAAGTCAACCATCGCAGGAACCACTTTTTCAAATATTCAAAGAAAAAGCACTTGAAAACTTTTTCGTCGGCGTCTAAATAAGTTTGCGACGCACAAATAGTTTTCTTTAGAATTTATAAAATTATTAGAAAGTACCGTATCAACTGTCTATACTAAGAGATGCTCTGACGTAAACAGAAGCCAAAATTAAGCTCATGTTTTTTAGTTTTCCTGGATGACGCCCTGAAACTCAATCGTATTTTGATGATTCGTGCAATAGCCAAGTCGGTGTTCATGATGGTTGGAATTACACTCTGCATTATTTATGCGAATGTCGCAGTTGATCACTTGTACAGTATATATCGCGTGTTTTCGGATTTTGCCTGCTGCTGAACACTATATTGGGTGTCTCTCGTATTTCGTCCCCACCGCCAATTCGCATAAGAAAATGTGCTAAAAATATGTCTTCAAACTCATATGTTGTTCCAAAAATAAGCAGCAAAGGTATAATTTGTCAAGCTAAATTATTAAATAGACTAGAATCTCGATTTTCCAAAAGCTTTTCCTTGTACATCTTTGTGAGAACCAGGAAAAACTCCCGTTTGCAGGCCTATTCTGGAACCTACAAGGTTTTACATCATTGCCAACTTTCAAGAAAACCTGAACAGTTATTTTCTACAAAAACTCTTGTTTATCCTTGAAGGATAATTTTCCTATTTTCACTCTCACTATTTTTCAACCATTCCATACCAATTTCTTGATACCCAAGATACTCAAGATACTTCGTGCTGATACTCAAGAGAATCGGCATGATTTTTTTGAGTACAGTATTTTTAAAAAGTCCAAAGAACAAAAACCTTATAATAGGGTTTTTGTTCACCCCGGTTGTAGCCCGGCCAAATATTCTAGTTTCATTTATTCATTTATTCTTGACAGTTCTAACATCTGTCGCATAGGAGAATTTCTCGAAATTAATTTATATTTATATTATGAATTTCTCGAAATTCTCATTAAAACGCAATTAAATGTTACTAAAGCATAGCTATACCTCCTCGGAAAACCCATTCTTTGTTTATGAAAACAATTCCATTCAATGCCGAGTTGCGAAAGAAATAGAATCTATAAATTTTTATTCTATATTCGGATAGAACGTCGGATAGCACGATGGTGCTTTTTTCATTAAAAAGGAGAGGAATTTTTTTTTATGAAATTTCCACAATAAAGGAAGCCTCAAATCTTAAGATTGATTCTCGAAGGATGATCCAGTATTTTCGCGCAAATATTTATGTCCGGGTATTTTTTCACGATTGCTGCAAACGAAAATTGTAGTGGAAATGAATTCAGAGTTGATGCAGATGGTCAAGAAATAATAAAGGCGAATATCCGAAGCCTGTTTTTGCATGGTTTCAAGATCGAAAATATTATTCAGCATGTATGAAAAATCGTCATTGATTGAGGTCAACATTAATAATGGGTTTTCTTGCTCTCATCGACTTTCGATAAAATGTCCCATGACTTTATAAATGTCTCATCGCATTTCAGGCTGATATCGTTTCATAATTCTGAGATAAAATGTTTTTGCAGATGAACAAAGGTTTAAAGGGGTCATGGGAAAATGATCGAAAAGTATTTCATGGCTTTTTAGAAGCCCCTCGTGTGAAAGTGTAAGTTTTTTTTTTTTTAGCGCATTGCGCCTTTTTTTTTTCGAAAATATTATATGTCAAGGGGGCTTTTATTTGGTTTGCGCTTGAATCGAGGAAATGGTTCGACTGCTTTCTTTCATAAGCCTGTTTTTTTGTTTTATGTTTTGGCACGGTTTATATTGTAATATGCAGACCTGTTTCAATTTAGGAATATGAGATTAATATTCTACATCTAAGGAGAATTAAAATATATGATCGTGCTTTCTTTTGAGAAAAATTCTTCGGAAATTTTAAGATTATTATCTACCGCGATGAGTAATTTAAATTTGGCTTAGTGGTCTGTTTTTTTAAAGTAATTTTAACGGGGAAATGAAGTTCGGAAGGAATTTTAGGACGCTTTCGTCATTTATTTTTTACACACTGTATTTAAATGAGTGCAGTATAACGTTCAGTCAAAAATTCTATGTATATCAATTTAAATCCTAAAAAAATATGGAGAACAAGCATCACATTGATGGAATCTGAAACTATTCACGAGGGAAGTTTTCTAGACATCTAGGCATTTCCGCTCAACTGCGTAGCCTGGTTTTTATTTTAAAATGTCTCAGATGTCGCTCCTATTGTGATCGCCAAATTTGTTTATTGAGTGAGTTATGGTGCTCAAATTGGAGGCAAGCCCAATTTGTCTTTCACTTCCTTTCAAAGAACATGGAGACCCATTTTTATTGCTTTTCCATTTGTGTCCATAAAATAATAGGCAAAACGCACCCAGAAAATTCCGAGGTATGGAGGTTTGAGGGGGAAAGCTTTTGGATGAAAGAGGCTTTCAATGCTTTATATTTCTGAAGGAATTCAGTCTGGAACTTAGCTTTAGTCAAATTTCAGTTTTCTGGAAGGTCATAAAAAGGCACTTTGGTTGAGAAGGCCTAAGTAAAAAAAAAATTAGGAAGGGGGAATCCTTTTTAAGTTTCCTAAATCTTCATTGCTATAATCCCATGCTAGAAATGCACAAAAAATTCCACCCAGCAAGAAATAAATTCTGTTGAATTTTTAAGAAACNAGGTTTCTAGACATCTAGGCATTTCCGCTCAGCTGCGTAGCCTGGTTTTTATTTTAAAATGTCTCAGATGTCGCTCCTATTCTGATCGCCAAATTTGTTTATTGAGTGAGTTACGGTGCTCAAATTGGAGGCAAGGGTTTACTTGCCCAATTTGTCTTTCACTTCCTTTCAAAGAACATGGAGACCCATTTTTATTGCTTTTCTATTTCCTGTGTCCATAAAATAATAGGCAAAACGCATCCAGAAAATTCCGAGGTTTGGAGGTTTGAGGGGGAAAGCTTTTGGATGAAAGAGGCTTTCAATGCTTCATATTTTTGAAGGAATTCAGACTGGAACTTAGCTGTAGTCTCATTTCAGTTTTCTGGAAGGTCATAAAAAGGCACTTTGGTTGAGAAGGCCTAAGTAAAAAAAAAAATTAGGAAGGGGGAATCCTTTTTAAGTTTCCTAAATCTTCATTGCTATAATCCCATGCTAGAAATGCAGAAAAAATTCCACCCAGCAAGAAATTCATTTTGTTGAATTTTTCAGAAACATTTTCTGCCAGCAGAGAAAAAATATTGGACTTCAACCCAACTTAGGCCTTATTGGTTTTTACTCAATACTTTTATTGTCGGAGCTTTTGATCAGAAAAATTTGCGAAAATATCCCAATTTTGCCACAGAAGGGTTAAGGATGTTTGAGACACAGTCTTGAAATTATAATTTCATGGGAATTTAATCATTGTTTTTCTTTCTTAATTTATTGTTCAACAGACAGTGGATGGTTGGGGCCAAAACGATCGCGGCGTGTCCTTCACATTCGGCGGAGACGTGGTGTCCAAATTCCTGGAGCAGCAAAACTGCAGCCTCATCGTGCGGGCTCACCAGGTGGTGGAGGACGGCTACCAGTTCTTCCAGCAGCGCTCCCTGGTGACCATCTTCTCGGCGCCCAATTATTGCGGCGAGTTTGACAACGCCGGCGCCGCCATGAAGGTGTCCGAGGACCTTGTCTGCTCTTTCAGCATCCTCAAGGTGAGACAAGTGTCATGGACTCATGGGTTGGTTCGCATGGTGAAAATTTCATCTTTACCAAAACAAGAAAGAAAAGGAATGCAATTGAACTTTTGGGTATACTGTACTGTACTGTATAAGCTTATGAATTTATTTTTTTAAAGGGTTATTCTTGGAAATTTTGAGGAAGATTATTTGAGGTATTGATTAACCCTTCTGCTGCGGCAAAGTTTGGATATTTTTGCAACATTTTGTGCTCATTAGCGCTGAAAAAAACCCCAAATTTTTGAGCCAAGGCCTAAATTGGGAAAAAGTGCAATCCAAAATTAATGTCTTTGTCAGCAGTCAACCGAAAAGTTTCGCTGAAAAAAATATAAAAATTCCTCCCTTGGGTGCGTTGAGCATTCATAGATTCAAATAAGATTGAAATTGATCCACCCTTTTGCAGCAATTTTGGAATATTTTTGCAACATTTTGTCCCCAGCATGAGCACTGAAAACCCCAGTTTTGAGCCAAGGCCTATATTAAGAAAGGTCCAAAATTTGTGTCTCTGTCCGAAAATTTTGGCTGAATGGTAGAAAAGCATTTTCTCTGCTGGTTGGCAATGTGGCATTGGTGTATTTTAAAGAGGCAAAGAGGATTGAGATTGATTAGCCCTTCTACAACAAAGTCAGAATATTTTTGCAACATTGTGTACCCATTAGCTGTTAAGAAACGTTAATTTTGTGAGCCAAGGCCTAAGCTAGGAAAAATTCCAAAAATCTTTTTCTGTCAGCAGAAAATTTTGGCTGAAAGATTAAAAAAAATTTTGTACCTGGGTGGGTTTCGTCTTTTTGAAGATTCAAAGAAGATTGAGAGTGATTAACGCTTCTGTAGCAAAGTTTGGATATTTTTGCAAAAGGGTGGGCCAATTAGTGCTGAAAAGAAAAAGACCCAACTTTTGAGCCAAGACCTAAGTCAGGAAGAAGTCCAATACTTTTTTTTCTCTGCCAGGAGAACATTTTGGCTGAAAAAAATATCCTCACTGGGTGGTATTTTTTTCTTGAATTCCTGGTATAGATTTATTGCATATTTCTGAAAAAAGATTCACCATCCCTGTGTTTTTTTATTGCTGTAGCACAATTTGCTACTGAGCTATTGATTTAAGTAAAAAAAATCGGTTCACTTTTTTGGGTCCACCCTGTGTCATATTGTAGATATCAAACTTCTTTCTGACCCAAAAATACAATAATTTTCATAAATTACCGTTTGAATGATTTGCATCGTTGACGAATTTTGCTGATTTATTTATTTTATTTTTACAGCCCGAAGTGGCAACCAAAAAGAAGTTCTCATTGCGGAAAGCAAAACGGTGATTGGGAGCAAAATCCTCAAACGTCAACCTTCGGATCAGTGGTGACTTAGTGTCCAAGACCTCAAGTTTCCTTTCCCAAGAGCATCTGCGGGAGAAGAAAAAAAAAAGCGACAATGATACGAAAAATCACTCAAGATTTCGACGAGCAGCACACGTCAAAACCGGAAATGAAGCTTCCGGTTGAAATTTCAAGGCTCGGTTTTTTGTTTCCTCTTTTACATCTGTGTCGTTTTCCTCTGCTGCTGGAACCAGCAAAAACGATGTTTGGTCGTTCTTTTCGAAAGGAAACAAAAAGAAGGAAATATTGGAACTGAAACTTTTTTTTTTTTTTAAAGAGGTTTTTTTTTTGCTCGAATGAATGCGTTTTTTTTTCAAACGATTCCGTTTTCGAGCACGAAATCTTTGATTGGTTGTTCCTGATGTGCGATTCTGTTTTTTTTTTCGTGATTCCCTGAATGAATGATTGATTGATTGAATAGTTTTTGAACCTGTGGCTGAGAATCAAGAGGCTCCTGAATGAGCAAAAATACATTACGAATTTGAGGTCGGAAAGGAAAAATTGCTGGAGGGAAAAAACGCTGCAAATCTTCCGTCATTCCAAAACGACCAATCATAAAAAGTCAAAAGCGCAAGAAAGCTTTTATCCATGTTCCGAACACACGGTTTTTATTTTCACAAACCCAATTTTTTTTATTGAAAATGAACTTCATATGTGCATTTCAAGTTCCATTCGAGATCAAATCAAGACTATGTATAGAAACATATAAAATCTGAGGGTTTTTTGAAGCTCCTTCTCTTGAGAATTTTCTCTGCGCAGCATTTTTTAAAACTAATTTATTTCATAATTTATTGGAGCGATTTCAAAAATTTCCCGAATTGAATGTATTCAAAGATCGGAAGAGAAAACCTTGTAATGAAAGATTTTTGCCGAGCTTTTAATAAAAACCCTATTTCTTTCAGTATTTTCGAAAAATATATCTTAATAAACGTGAAAAATTGATACTTCTCCTGAAGACAATTGATTAGCGACGACTTCAATAATTATAAACATTTTCAAATCAATTTTTTCTTGTGCTATTAATATTTATTTTGAAGGCAGCTCTTTCTCGTTCGTAAATGTTAGCATGCAAATAATTATAAGGCTCATCAGAGGCTCTATGTATAGATTGCTGACAATTGAATGACTTTGGAAATAATTTCGGTCAAATTAAGACGAAGTATTTAATCATTCCTTCCGTCAAAGCCCAAAATCATCCGGAGATTCTACCTATTTTGAAGCACTTACAAGTGAAAATGGTCAATTTAAATGTCTGAAATGCTCGAGAAGCATTAATTGCTTTTTTCCTTGGAATAAGTTTCAGAAATCGCAAAGAAAAGTTTTGATGTGAGACAGAACGTTTGTATATGATGTCCATTATTCCTGCCATGGGACTGATCTCAAATATTATAAAACACGAGCAAAGCAGAACAAGTGGCTCAAACTGCTTCCATCTTTCTTCGTAAAATCTGAAAAATTACTTTATGAAATAAAATCTGAAGATTTGATTGGAAACGTCCATATATTTCGGGGACTTCTGATGCGGGCATTCGATGATAACGAAGCCTCGATTTCCTTCCGAAGGGAATTTCCCTGAAGGATTTTATTTTATTTATTTTTCTCTTTGATCAGCACGCAAATTGTGTCAGACTGAAGCCAGTTTGTGGCCCCTATATATATATATATATATATACCCGGAGTTGCCAGCAAATTAGCGTGCACAGCAGACCCCCTACCGCAACCCCAATTTGGTGTGATTGCGGAACGAATGTGAAGCCCTCAGCTTTTCCTGCTGACGGAAACGGAAATAAACACATCTCCTTCTGTACAGTTTTCGTTTTTCTTGTTATCAAGTAACGTGCAGACTGATGCATGTTGAATGAAATTTATTTGAATTCAGTGAACCAATGCAGATATGATTCAACTTTATTATTTTAAATAAGTTCAAACTTGATAAGTCAAAAACCCCTCCAGAACTGAAATTTGCTGTAAATCACTGACCAATCCCTGCAAGACCGTTGCAATTAGAAACTCCTAAAATCCAAAAAAATTGGCTCAAATAAATACTGTATACATGTATATCAGTTGTTAGGAACAATTTAGTGAAATTTCAATAGAATATTATGTTTTAGAAATAAATGTCACAAAGAATTTGGTTGGGCTATGCCCAGGGTGAAATTTTGCCCTATTTTAAGGTTGTTGTAATTTGAGAACACAGTCAACACACACAATATTCACAAAAACGCTGGAGTGTCTCATATGAGAGCTCAGAGAAGAATGAAGGATTTCAATGGATTCAGAAACCAGGAAAACTGTCCTCCAAGGACAAGTAACAGAACCAGGATTTTGGCAATAGAAAACAGCTTTGGAGGCTTCAGGAAAATGTGTGTGTGAACCAATAAGGTTGTCCTTGGCTCACACAGAGATGTACAAGGACAAGTTTTTCTGAGGATGTGGAGTCTTCAGTTCTTTATTCAGTGTAACAAATTATACACTAGCATTTAATTTTGCAACATCAGTGTTCCACAGCTTTTTTGGGCTTGTGGACAGGCAAATTTCCAAAAAAATTGTTTTGCAAGGACTGGCAAATTCCTAACAATTTGCATGCAGACCAGCAAAGTTTCACACATTTTTGCAGATTTGAAGAAGTTGTGCTTGAAAGACTCCATGGCAGGTATTTGAAAGTTTTTGCTTTTTTGCAAAAATTAAGTTGAGCGCCAATAATAAATCAGCTACTGTATATAGTAAAGCTTTCAACATTATCAAAAAATTAGAAAGGTGGGCTTGAAGAAAGGTTTTGGTATGAAAAATTGAAATAATTTATTGCAGCAGGTGAAAAATTTTCTGAAGCATTCATTGAAAGAAAAGCCAACTTTTATTTTTCATCAGATAATTTCAACTGTCATTGTCTCTCTAAATAGTTAGATGAAGATAACTTACTTCATTGCTACTTTTGATAGATATATTATGCTGGAAATTTCCTGAGGACTGGCACAAAACAAACTTCTGGGTCTGTGGACCATGGGTCTGGGAACAGTGCTAGTGTGTATATACTTTATACAGTAATTTTTAAAATATTCAGTTACCTTTTTGCACTTATAGGATTGAATTTTTTTTTTTTGGTCTAAAATTTTTCGGGCTGAAAGAATAATATTTTTATTTAAGTGCGCCCTGTGTTCATATGAGAAAATCGGAACAGTTATGGCGGCAGTTACACATTCAAAGCACAACTGAATGCAGTTGACGCGAGCATTTTGCTGCGAGAAATTTCATTCAAGTGAACAGTGACATCTAGTTTTGTTACGTCCAAGAATGTTTTGCTTCTGGGAAAACTCTCGCTTAGGTGACCCTACCAAACGGCGGAACATAACATTACAGTGCAAGGCATGAATAATGCAGGAGTATAAATCAAGTCTCAAAATAGAATCTCGCCAGGTTCACAAAATAGAATCTCGCCAGGTTCACAAAATAGAATCTCGCCAGGTTCACAAAATAGAATCTCGCCAGGTTCACAAAATATTCCCTTCGACCCAGACATATCCATTATTTGACACATTCCGGTCACTCAAAAATCAATTAAAAAATGAAACTTCTCTGTTCAAAAATAAATCACAGTCTCATTTTTAAACATCGCTGTTATTGGTGTGCTGACACACAAATTTATGTTTGAAAACATTCGCCAGAGCCCTTCTCGTGTACCTCGGAGCATTTGGCGCCACACGGCAGTGAAATGTCCAGCACTGCAGGGGATGAACCTTCGTATGTACGGATGGAACCATTCACCAGCTCATCGCCCAATTCGTGTCTATCTATCTCACCATCTTTCTCTCTTGCCTCGTTCAATTCCTTCACCTATATTTCCAGATAAGAGTTGCATGGCGACTGTATACTGTACTGTAAACTCTTGTACTGAAGGGAAAGGGAAGAAACAAAGCTGCCAGTTTTGTGCTTTCGTTCCATTGCCTCGCTTCGCTCCATCAGAAGTAGTCGGGCTATTCAAGCGTGTTTGTAAGTGCTGTATGTGTGTGAGAAAAGTGCATTTAACCATTTTTTCGTTAGGATATTATTGCAGCATACGCACGAGTTATTTCTGTTGGTAGTTTAAAAAAAGAACGAAAATATGCCATGCACAGAATCAGTGCTGGACTCCTTCTATAAGGATCTTTGTCTGCACAATATTCAAGTAGAATGAGTTTTTTAAGTACCATATATTTGACGGTTTCTCTTTGTGTTATAGGGGTTCTCTGCAACAGAATTCTCTCTAAAGCTAATTACAGTGAGATCCCAAGATATTGACGTAATTGGTGCATCAAGAGTGTCCTAAGTCAAAATGTCTCTAAGTTGAGTCTCATTTTCCCTTAGACTTACATTGTATAATTTTAATTGGGGTTTTATGAACAAAATACGTACTCATCAAAATTCTGGGAAAATAAATTTTCTCCCAATTTGAAATCAATTCAAACAATATCTTTCAACACAATATGGACATTTGGAGCATTGAGCATTCTCTTTAAAACTAACATACAAGTGAAAAAGAGAAAAGAGAGAAGTGCGCTACCTTTACTAGCGCACTTTGTTGGGTGAAGTTTCAACGGGCATCCGCTAGAGGGCGACCTCCGTTATTATATGAAATCAAGCCCATACAGAAAGTTTTTTATTTCTCGACCCACTTATTCACAAAATGTTTTTTTCTGGGGAGAGGGGAT